ACTGCTACTGCTACTACTACTCCTGTGCGAATGGCAAGAGCATCCCTGCCCGCTCGATGAGTACGTTCATGTTACCAGTGCGGCCTATGGCCAGAGCATCCATGCAAAATGGACTGCTTGCATCATTATTCGTTGGATCGCTTGTCATCTTTGCAGAACTGTCTTCGCTTCCCAAAGCCTAAACTTACAAATGTGTTGGCAAAGAGAAGAAACCCGACAACCATACTCGACAGCGAGTCATTTCCTCAAACTCAGGAAATTGCGCACAAGTCTTGTTGAAAACTAAGGAACTCCGCAAAATTGAACCATGCAACACCACTGGCGGCCTGTTGCAAACGATGAAACCTTCCCTGTTCTACAGCAATCAAACACAATCCTTGAACATCCCGGTAACATCCCTGATAACGGCCGAGGCTCGGGTGGAGTTGTTGGCTCCTGTCGGTTGAGGATGCCGAGCGTGGCATATAGCTTGCCAAGGTTTGAAAGCTCTTTGCGGGAATGATGTTTTTGGATGTGCTGAGCACGCTCCAGCAGCTCCTTCTGTAGCATGCCATAAGCATTGCTGAGATCGGTCAACAGCGGCACTAGCTCTGCATGATCCTCGCCGTAGTGCTGCTCATTGATGCGGAGCGCACGCTCCAGGAAGCCTTTCTGTTGTTCGTACTCTGCCAGCCTTCCATGCAATTTGCCCAAACTCATCAGAGCCACCACGACCTCGGGGTGCTCTTCCCCGTAAAGCTTTTGCTTGATCTCCAGCGCCTCCTTCAACTGCTTAGTTGCCTCCCTATCTTGCCCAAGATTTCCGTAAGCATCGCCAAGATGAATCAAGGTCACTGCAACCTGTTCATGGTCCTGTCCATGGGCATTCTTCCCTATAAGCAGCGCACGCTCCAACAGCTCCTTTTGTTTCTCATAGTTTCCGAGGTCTCTATGGGCGATGCTGAGATTCAACAAAATGGCCGCAACCTTTGGGTCTTCACTTCCGTGCTGCTTCTTCGCATCCTGTAGGACACTCTCAAGTATAGCCCTCTGTCTGTCGTACATCCCCAGGCTTCTACAAGCACTGGCGAGATGCATCAACATTACCGCCTCATCTGCACGTTTTTCTATGCCATACAGCTGCTTCAAAATGCCAAGCGCATGCCATAGCACTTCCTTCTGCTGGCTGTAATCCTCTTTGTCTGCGCTGACGACCAGATCCAACAACATCTTTGGTACCAGTAGATTAGGCACATACGCATGGCCTTTATGGAAAGGGTCCCGCCCACTGCTGATCTCTTTTTCAAGCGTGTCCACGAGTTCCTCCCGATTTCGGAACGCTCCGAGTGCAACCAGGGCTGCATGAACAAAGGAGTAGTCTCTTTTCAGATCGTGTAACAAAGTCTCCGCCATTTCAAAAGCCTTTTCCACCAAGCCAGTTTCAAAATAGACAGTGGCCAAAATACCTGCCCTGAGCATGGCGTCTTGGCGGTGCCAACCGAATTTATGCCTGGCAAAGGAGTAGGCCAGCTGCCGCAAAGGCAACTCGCACCATGCCTGGTGTTCTGCAAGTTTTGCAGTGATTGCGAGCCTGTCCATCTGCCGCAACGCGTCCTTGTCTGCTTCGAATGCATCGATGTCCGGCAGGAGGCTACCGAAGTCTTCACCAAAGCATTGCCTGCAATACTCGTCATTGTCCATCAACTCCTGCCATTTCACGATGCGGCCATGGCCAGGCGATGGGCCGCTACCGGAAATGTAAACATGCACCAGATCGGGCGCCCGTACATACGCAAACTCCCAACGGCACGCCTTGGACCTTACTCAAATTGTTCCGAAGTTCCAACCCAAGTCATGACCGCAACGATCCAATAAACTCAGAAACAGCAGATCCTGCCCTGACGCAGCTGAGGAACTTCAAATATGCCTCGGTCAACTGCAAAATGAGGATCCCGTGTTTGGTCTCTTTCGCAGCCTTCTTGTAGTGCTTGAACCAGGCTGGATATTCTCCGGGCAGCCGGGGCTGGTCCAGGTCCGAAAAAATGGGGTTCCAACGTGCGACCTGATCTTCTGCGATGTGCACGCCCATCCCCAAGGACTTGTCCGTGCAGAAAGTCACCTGTCCTCAGGCTTCCAGACAACCAGAGGGAAGCATGTTACAGCGGGACCAATGCCCGGACGGATAGAACTGAGGATGTATCTGAAACCTTCCGTGTGAAACGATGTGTAACATGTTGGCGAGTTCTAGTTCACGCAAAGAAACAAATAAGCAACGAATCCTGGAATAATTAAGCTCGTCCAGTTCTATGTTTGGCAGAATCTTTGGCGAGAGGCGGACCTGCCCTTCGAAGAAGACGCCCTTCTGCAGTTCTGCAAGGATTCGATTGATTTCAACTCGGTCTGGGCTGGCGAAGGAGATCAGGAAATCTGCGTCAGTCGCGTCTTTCCTTCCTTCAGGTTCTCCACGAGCATTATAGCCGACGCACATCCACTTTCTCTGCTGCATCAGCATCTCGTGCCATTGTTTGTCGTGCAATGTCAATGCATCGACGAAGTGCTCATCATCCTCAACATCTTGACCTGCGATCCGTTTGGCGATGCTGCGGTTGTTGTAGGCATCAGCAAACTCCGGGTCCTTTTCAATGGCGCTCGAGAAAACGTCCATCGCCTCTTTGACTCGTCCCTCGCACAAGTGCTTCCAACCACTTCTGTTCAAATCATCTGCCTGGCCCCATGGTTTGGGCAATGCGGTGGGTTGGACTCTACTCCCGCGGTTGCATGGTTTCTGCCAGCCCATGGGCGCAGCCCCTTAAATATGCTTAGCATGACAGCTGATGCACCGCACCTGCCTTTAACATACGCTGGCTTCAGCACAGGCTGCATGACTCCATTCTCCTAGGATCCCTCACGTTGCCTGTTCCGAGCTCGTTGCAACACTTCTTCGTGGGGGAGCAGCTGGAACGATGTCCTGCAAGCTCGGGCAAGGCACAGGACGTAAAGCAACTCGACATAAGGCCACTCCTTCCTGTGCATTTCTACTCTCGTCTTCAAAGGCATTCGCCTCATCTTCCCGGCGCATGGTGCGCTCGAGCCGATGCAGCCGATGCAGCACTGCCCATTGCGCGGTGGCATGGGACCCTCCTCCTCCAAATCCGCGAATCTCCGATCAAAGGTTGGAACCTGAAATTGGATGGTTCATGAATATATTATACTTTTAACCGCGATTGAATCACTATTGATCACTGTTGGATGACTGTTGGATGACTGTTAGGGGTTCTCACTCCAAAAAGCACCAACATCAACCTTGCGTCTGCGCATCTGGCCGATAGTCTGCTGACGCATCTACTTGATGTATGTGGTACACTGATACCTGGGCAAGGCCAAGCTGCTCTCTCTTGAGCCAAAAGCATCGGATGGGCTTCATCGGTATGAAGACGCGAAGACTACCAAGGCCATGAAAGACTGATCTGCAGCAACATAAACTTTCGACTCCGCTCTTTGAATGAGAAGTTTCGAGCGGCCACATTCAGAGCCACAACGAGCGCGACGCAGACGGCATCTGCACACAACCCTGTACAAGGACCCCCAACAACCCACCATGTAACGCACACAGCAGACAGCAGTAGCACACCATCGCTTAGGTAGTGCTTGCTCAGTCTATAGGCTGGAGATTGTAACTGGCGGCTTTGCGCAGCCACTATGGGCCAGGCGCTGTGGGCAACACGAAGCCCTGTATACGAAGAATAACCTCACTATTTGCGCGCACAGCGGCATCGCCCGTGCGCACCACTACTGGCGATAGGCATGCTCGGTGTGCAAAGTGAAAGGCAGGCATATGATGAATATCTACAGCAAAGTCAGCGTGAAGCTGACGAGGTGCAGGACAGCCAGACGCCTGAGGAAGGAGCCCGCAGGAGGAACAGAGGACGAAATGCTGAAAGAGATGTTGACCCAGGTACCCCAGACTCTACCAAGCACAGGACACAAGGTCCGCGAGGGTATCCAGTTTAAAAGGGGCAACAAGGACACATCGTGAGGCTAAAGGCCGCAGAGGGCGTGATAGAAGCCCAAAGATTTGTACAGAAGTTTCGCTAGGAAGAAGCAGCGAAAGCAAGCAAGGCCAATGGGTGATGGCTAAAAGTTTCACAAAGTTGACTTGCGAGAAAGGAGAGCCGGATCAAGAGGTCTGTGTAAAGGACCCGAGAAAAGGCAGATCCAGAATCGCCAAGGCTACAAGCCACACGACAAAGCACTACGACCGTACAGTGGCAAATGCCAAAGGAAGTGCAAGCTACTTTTTCGACAAGGTCGACGACCTGAACCGCGAGTACCACCCGCGACGCAAAAGAAGTGAGAGCGCAATGTAGTTTGGAGACAGTGAAGACCGTGAGTGCGCTTTGTTGGTTTCACAATTTGGTTTTACAGGACACGAAGAGCCAGAAGATAAAGTGAAGAAGAAAGAAATGAAAGAAGGCTCAATGGAGCATGTGAAAAGAGCTGAATTGCTCGAAGGAGCATGCGAAAAATGCGAAAGTGGACTGTAGACGAATGTTTAAAGGTTCGAGTCAAGCCAAGAAAGGACTTGAATCGAAGAGGGCGTATTAAACATTTCAATTTTCCCAGAACCCCCTTCGGAACCATAATTCGCAATGTCTCACTCCGNNAGGCTTGAACAGACCGTAGTCGAGCCACCACCGCTAAAAGAAAAAGTGACAGAGCTATCCGGTGATTAAAGGAACCCTAAAGTTTGGTTTAAAACTTTCAGTGTTGCAGGACTCAACATGTGCAGCCACTTGGGCTGTGCACCTGTGCGCATACGGGGCCGATGCTGCGCACAGTTAGTCTGCATGACGCCGAAGCTTTGTTTAAATTGCTGCCGCTAGAGGCGGCGCACCCGGCCGTTCAAATGCCTACCAGTGCAGGTGATCAAGCATTCTTCGGGGGAGCCTTCCGCAAAGGCCCCTTTAAAGGACTTCGCAAAAGCCTGCACCGTCTTCCCAAAGTCTTCACAGTGCTTCACCAGGCTGCTGCGGGCAAACTTTCCTGGAGAAGTGTTCAGTTCCCTTGGTGTATTCTTGAATGTGCAAGCCGAAATGCACAAAGACTTCAGAAATGGTCCGTACCCCAACTTGTTGTTGGCCCTTTCCAACTTCACTGATGGACAGGTCTGGACCGAAGATGATGCCGGGACCATTTTCCGGGAGGTGCGTGGCGTTTTCAAGCCAGGGCGATTGCTTCCTGTTGCCGACTCCCCACAAAGACTCATGGCGCATCAGTCTTACCACCAGACCGAGCCGTGGACAGGAGAGCGGCTGCTGCTTGTCGGATTTACCATCTCCAACCCGTTGCAACTTGAACCTGTTCACCTTGCCACACTGCGCGACTTAGGTTTTGTCTTGCCCGCTTCCTCTCGCCTGAAGGAGGGGGGGGGATCCACTCGATGAAGACGGGCAAGGCCGGAGCACTGCTGCATCTGCATCTGCACCTTCGGAACAGCCTCCCAACACCCCGGGATGCAGCCGCATCCGGGGCCCCGGTCACCCCTAGCACCCCCTGGGAGGGTCCACCCGAGAGGCACCTGTTAGCGCCTCGGCTTTAACCAGTGACCCGGTTACGCCAGAGCCAACACTTCAACGAGGCGGTGAGGAGGCAGACGACACGGTGGACTTCGACCCAAACACGTCGCGATGTCGAGGCCCGCCGATCAGATCTAGGCACACCCAAGAGTGGAGAGAGCTGGTTGACCGGGCCGATGGCGTCCCTTGGCTAGGAATGCTTTGGCTAGCACCGGGGAATGGGATCATGCAGGGACCGTTCGAAAGATCCTAGCGGAAGCTGTCCGCAAGGCTATTCCCGATCTGAGGAAGGCCGCAGTCGCTCTTGCAGCAGGCGGTCTGATCAAGTCACCTTTCAGTGACAAGCTGATCGATGATGTGAGGGCTCGGGTTGCTGCGACTTTGCCAGATCCAGAGCAAGCCTTGTGTAAACCTGACGGGCAACCCTTCATGCTACATATGCTCTCGCAGTCGCTCAAGATATTGGGAGATCCAGACTACGAGATTCTCGATCAAGGCAGCGAGAGTTTTGCCGAAGGAGTGCCACTGGGCTGGGACAAGCCGATTGCCCGGACACCGCAGGTCTTCCCGAAGCGCACTCATTTCCGGAAACTTGACGAAAGCGACTTCGATCCTTCAATGGTCAACTATCGCTCAGCAGAGTTGAATGCAGCCCAACTTGAAGAGAAGTTTAGGCAGGACGAGCAGGCCGGAATGATGTTATGCACCACTGAGCCCGAGGCTCGGCGGAAGTACGGCCCGGAGGCTGTGCTCATCGCCGCGATGGGCGCGGTGACTAAAACTAATGGCGACGTCAGACCGCTGCACGACGCCACACACGGCTTTTTTTTTTGCAAGCGCAGGGCCCAAGTTAGGTCCCGTCTGCTCCGACCGTTCAGGAACGCTGCGAGG